GAATATTGGCAAAAATTTAACATTTCTGCTACTTTGAACTCAATTTCAAGCTACTTTCAGTTCTGAAACTACTCAAAATTATCTCTGTTTCTGTAATGTATCTTCCATTCTGTCAATTGAGACCAAGAAACCAAGAATAGAACCTTAAAACACCATACGAAAATACACTGCAAAATTGCTGTTTTAAACCAAAAACACGGTCTCAGTTTTGTTTTTTATATGATGCACACTTACTGCATAGACTCATTCTCTCATATTTAGGCACAGATTTACTGCTCACAGCTTATTTGAGTGAGTTGAGCTCATGGCATCACACTACAGAATGGTCAGTGACTTCAAAGCCATGATACAATGGGATGAACACTGAAAGGGTTAAGTATCCACCAAACACCTGTCAAATTACAGCAGCTGTCATTGCCAAGTTCTTTGTGACTAAACAATGGTCCAGGACAGACCAAAACATCATCACGATGTGTCTCTCCTAAGTGTGAATCTTTTGTGAATTGTTGCAGCCACAATATTGTGACTCTGTTCTTCTTTTAATAATGAACACTGGTGTGCATTTTTGACATACCTGGGTCTCCTTCCATTGGCCAAGAGCAAGAGCTTGATGTCACTAGGCAATGAACCAATGAGGAGCATGGAAATACATATGAGTTATCTTTCCAAAAAATGCTAGAAAGAGCATTGGTAGCACCATAGCCATATTGAAATAAGAGGTGAAGAATGAAATGAAGTCAGTTTAGCCTAACATATTGCACATTACCTTATATTGATTAGCAGTAATGAGATTTAATAATTAATCTCATTACTTGGACCATTTTTGATCTTAGACTGGAAAATTAATGTAATTTTCCCCACACAAGCATTTAAAATTTGAAAATGAATGAAGAAGACATTCTCAAGGTCTAAATGAAAATTTTTGAGGAAGAAAAGATTAGAGTAGCTGAGATGTACCAAAAATAGAATACTGTAGGTAGGGCTTGCTCGATTCATGAAACTTGAAAAAAATATACTAGTTTTCAGTACTTCTTAATTTTCTTTCCTCAGTTATATTCTATCTAAAATTATTTGCAATTCCATAATTAAAAATATTTGATTGTATTTTTTTTTTTTTTTTTTTTTTTTTTTTTTTTAAATTCCAATTTGCATAGCATCCATGAGCTACAAGACAGGGAGAGCAGAGGGGTGAAGTAACATTTAACAAATTGAAACCTACACAGTCCAATAACAATCCGAAGCTTCCTCTAAGTAAGGTTGATCAGTGGCGAAGATTTGATGCTGAGCAGATTACATATTCAAAAATTATCCCGTGAACATCAATATTTTGTAGGTATTTAAATTTTCAAAATTTCTCCAGAAAGCACATTGGCACCTACACAGCCCAGATTTAATAGAAAAAATCAAAATACAGCAGCATTTAGGGTCTGAAGCCACTCAGAGGCATTTTTTTTTAGTTAATGCTTGGAAATCAAATTTTTAATAAAGTTGGCAAATTAATACTTAACTTTATTGTAGTCAATTCCACCATCCCTGAAAGCTTGAAGACTATCAGAAAATGCATTTACTGAAATCCAGTGATTCCATTATTTTTAAACGTTGCATCTGCACATTAAACTTCCTGGGTACTATCCTGTTCATAAGATGTATAAGGGAGTAAAGATGGAATCCAGTCAAAAGAGGTACACTCAAGTATATTTAATATGTTGTAATAGGAAGAAATTTTTGCACTTTTTTTTAAGCACAAAAATAAACCCTTGAATGGACCTTGGTAATACAGAGCAAAATCATCTGGGTAAGTCAGTTTGGAATATTGAGCAATAACATTCTCCACTTTTGTTGAAGTAGGATACAGCAGTGCAGAATTCTTGAAGGTATCAGAAGCTTTTCAAAAGTTGTACATGAATGGTGTACAATACCGACAAGATGAAAATTAGACACATGTGCAGCATCTGCAATACAACCACTGGATGGCAAAATCATCATCATCTTTCAACGTACCAGCCGTATCCCACTGAGGTGGGGTGGCCCAAAAGGAAAAACGAAAGTATGGCAAAATGTCTACAATAAAGATACCCAGATGTTGCACTTGTGTCTAATTTTTATTTTTTTTAAAAGTTATCCAATCCATTCCAAGACTCTCAAAAGGATCTTTATAACTGATCAGAGGCCACATGTATATGTCAGTGCTTGCAGTGGCCATTTCTCCCATGTAATTAACCTGCACTGAACATCGTTGACAGACAAGATGAGGCATTCCCAAGAATGAAAATCTGGTGAAAGAAATAAAAAAAAAGAAAAACATTCAGAGAACCACTTAGAGGTACTCCTTTGAAGATAACTAATAACTGTACAAGTGACAAGTCTTTGCATGACTTTCCATATTATATATTTTTATAAATACTTTATAATGCAAAAATCCCTGTCACATTACTTCAGTATTTATTACACCCTTAAAATAAGGCCTCGGGTACAATCTATATTGCATTATCAGTACAAAATAGAGATATTTACATCAGTAATACAGTTTTTTTTTTGTTTTTAATTTTAGCAGTCTGGACAGTGAAATATTTTGATTTGAATGTTTCAAGAAAATCTCAATTTGGTTAAATTTATTTTCCATTGTGTTTAATTGATTTTCACCTTAGGAGACCAAAGTGGAATTTGTTACCCATGGATTGCCTTGGTAGGTTGAATTTTAGGTCCAGGCTCACCAACTCTTAAATATGGAAAATGCAACTTTTTTTTTTCTTCTGAGGTTACTGTGGTTGGTAGAAGTTTTCATTATATTGTTGTTGTGTATCAGTCAAAACACGGCATCTAACTAGACGTGATCACAATTATTTGTGTGTTTACACAGCACAGTGCAATAGCCCAAAACATGAATTTATGTCACCATGCTGTCACCTCCTGTACAGGAGGGCCCCACTTCACTTTACAGGATTTCGCTAATGCAGCTGTTTTCAGTTATACCCATTCTTCATTTATTCAGACACTAAAATAAATATATTCACCATTCACTATAAGCTAAGGACAAAAATATTTTAAGGTAAGTAATGTGTGTACTGTATATGCATTTTTTAGGCTGGGCTCTATTATTCACTCGATACAGTGGGACCTTGACTTACCCGTGTCCCAGCATATGAGTTTTTCGAGATAAAAGCTGTCGCTCGGTCGATTTTTTGCGCTCTGTGTTATGAGCAAGCTTCCCCCTCAACCCACACACATCACTTGTTTATCTATGATTTCATGCTTTAATTCAATAGAAATCATCCTCTTTTTCTTCTCAGCACTGTCCTTTGCATTAACTTTCTTAGGACCAATGGTTAGAAAAAAGAAATTTGGCCAAATAGCTGAAATAATGCAAGCAGAGCAGGACAAAAATGCTTCCACAGTGAGGGTAAGCAGTCCCCTGCACCAACTATGTAGTGGCAGTTAGTGATGTTACTCATTAATATTATTATTATTATTATTATTATTATTATTATTATTATTATTATTATTTAAGGAACTGGAGTCAGCATCAAGGTTCCTTGATGCTGGTGAGGGGTTCTTGATCTAGGGAATTGAATCTGTGCTCTAGTTCCCTAAATTAATAATAATAATGAGCAAGCTTCGGTTCCCTAAATTAATAATAATAATTATAATAATAATAATAATGAGTAACATAACTAGTTGACACTAGTTGATGCAATGTACTGTTTACCCTCGCTGTGGAAGCATTTTTATCCTGCTTTGCTTACATTATTTCAGCTATTTGGACAATTTTTTTTTCTAACCATGGGTCCTAAGAAAGTAAGTGCAAAGTAAAAAGAAAAAGAGGAGGATTTCCATGGCATTAAGCATGAAATCATAGATAAACAAGCGAGGTGCAGGTTGTCGGTTGAGGGACGCTGCTCTGTCTATCTTCCACCCCTCAACCCTCCACCCTCCATCCTCCATCTCTTTTCCCAGGTAAATATGTACGTACACTTCATAAAACCGGTTTATTTCTTTACATTTTATTATGTTTTTATACAATATTTCTTATATATAAATACATTGTTTCAATGTTTTCCTCATGAAACTAGTGAGATAGTACAGTTAGCCTCACAAACCCTCTGTTTTCTCTCATAATAAGAGCATGGGAAGATACTATAATCAGAGTGCCACCATCACTTGCCATATTATGGCCTATTTTATTCATTTTAGAGTATATATCATGTTTCTGTGTTAATTATATTGTTATGTCATATTACATGAATTGTGATAGATAAATAAGCTATAGAGTTGATATTAGTGTAATGTTCAAGTATTTTGGCCTGCCTCCAGAGAGCAGGAATTCTGCTAGGATGGATTAGTGGCATTTTAATTAATTTAAATGAGGGAAATTGATTTGATATACGAGCAAACTGAGTTACAAGCTAGGTCACGGAACGGATTAAACTTGTAAGTCAAGATTCCACTGTATATGATAATGTAAACATGCTATCAGGCTTTTACATGCATTTGAAAGTGAAAAATGGATATGTTTCACTTTACAGTGATTTTCACTTTACAGTGGTAGCCTGGAACCTAACCTGCTGTATAAGTGGGGCCCACCTGTATGTAGTTTTCACATTGGAATGATCCAGTCTGAAAGCAAGTGACAAATTACTGTATATTAGTGCGCATGCTGGAGTGGTTTCTGATGGTCACAGGCCTACATAGTGTGAGAATTTTTCTCCTTTAAGTTACGTATGTTTGTTTTTGTGTGTAGTATTTTAAGAAATGATTTTAAGTATATAATATTGGGAACAACTCTTTTCTTTCAAGATGCAAGCTAATCCTTGCTTTATTCCAATATTATATATGATATTATTTTAGTTTTTCATACATGTGTGCATTCACTTGTATTGCAAAAGTTTGACCAAGCACATTGCAGTGTATATACACAATTTGAAACTGATTTCTAGATGTTTAATTGCTTTTTGGTCACTGACACGCTATTAGGTGTTTTGCTTTTTCTCTTCCAAACACAGACACTGTTTGACCCCATGTTTATATCGGTATATAACCTATTCTACACATCGATGCCCGTCCTGGCTTTGGGTATCTTTGAACAAGATGTTAATGCAAAGAACAGTATCATATATCCAAAGCTCTACACTCCTGGTCTCAAGAATGCTCTCTTCAATAAGAGAGAGTTCTTCAGGTCTGCTGTTCATGGATTTGTCACTTCTTGTGTCCTCTTCTTCATACCATTTGGTAAGTAATGTTGTACATAATGTCTCCACAAAGTACTCAGTTTTAGAAGTGGGCAAGAAGTAGCACACTATATATTGCTACATTGGATATTGAGTACTGCTGTCTCATAGATGGCTTGATTAAGAAAATAGTACAGCTACAGCAAAACAAATAATTTTCAGCTTTACAAGAGTGTGAATTGAGTTCACATTGTAAGTATTGCATGTGGCCCTCTTATGTAGATGTTCGTTGTAACAGTGCTGTATGTTATGTAGATAACCATTGTTTTCACATTTCTCACTTGGACCATATTAAATTTTCGAGTCTATAAGAACAGGAGTAAATTATAAAATAAAACTTGGTGTAATAATGCAAAAAGAAATAAGAAAAAGTGACTGAATTTTAGTATAGACTGTATTTGGAAGTGTGTGAACATACAGTTTTATGTGTCTGTACTTTAGTAATACTACTACAGTATCACACATACATGTATTTGTCATCACAGTCTTTCCCACTTGTTTGTGCTTAATTACCTATTTGTAATTGTGAAGTAGAGTTATGCTCATGGTGTGTATCATAATTGAAGACAAAAGTATGTTTTTTTTTTTTTTTTTAAATTTCTAAGACTTCTAGAGCAACATGCTACTGCATATTGATGTTCATTCTACACATTTAGTAGTAGTAATAAAGTGCTTTTTTATAAAGTATACTCTATATACAGGACACATTTTTTTCAGTAATTTTAGATTTTTGCTTTGATTAAAAAAAATTTGAGCTGTCCTTATCTTCCTAAGATCGCATCCGATTATCTCTAAATCCCAGGCACAATATGACCCATACAGGTTTGGCACTTACTTATGAATATACTTTCCTTTTAAAGATGTTAGTGAATATAATAATACTCTCCTTCTTGCTTATTTCAATCAGTATTTCACACCTGTTTTCTTGAATCACAAAATTGTAATGACATGATTGCAAACAAACCATACCATGAGTTCACTCTCCGCCCGTGTACGGTTTGTTTTCTTGAATCCTTTTACTTTCCGAATTATAATTCTAACTATATTGTGAGCATTTTCAGTGCTTTCAGCCCATCATAATTCTGGAATTCATTCAGTTTGGTGTCTTCAGATTTTTTATTTAAAGTTTCCCCTTGGTGTGGATTCTATACTAAAGCCACATTTTAATATGTTATTATCTAATAAGCAATGCAAATAATTTTTTTAGCATTTCTCCATGCATATATACTTTGTGTGAAAAACTGGCCCAACTAAGGTCTTTATTTGAGTTTCTGGCATGAAATTGTTATTCTGAAGTATCCTGTGATCCCAGAATAAAATTTCATTATACAACTACCATAAATTACCAGCCATAATACAATCCTGTCTACAAGACTAGGAAAGAAGGGAGGTTATTTGTTCCCTCAATTAGATTTTTACACAGCCTCTGGTGTAAGTCAGGAGTATATGCAAGATTTATATAGCCTTCCCTTCCCTTCATTTGCATAATTAGAGTTGAAATGAGAGGAGACTGGATACAATGTCAGTACAGTACCTACTCTATATAACACCTTGAACAGAGTGGGGTTCAAACCCAAGCCAGCCAGTCCTAAACCTAACAGGCCAGTGCGCTGTCCGCTGTATTATGCTGGTCTAGTAGGATTTACTCAACTCTGTGTATTTCTATACAACATGGGTTAGCATGGGCTCTGCTGTGACTCTAATTGTAGGTTTTTACAGACAAATTTCTCACCAACATGGTTGTGGCAAGCTAGAGCATACATAGTGACAGTATTTATATGGTGCCAATTAACATGTACAAGGTGTACAGGCCTAGCTGACATCAATGACATGCTACTATATAGAAAGCTGCTTGTTATGCAGAGCACTTCAGGCAAATTAGGTCAATTTTGTCCTGGGATGTTACTCACACCAGTTGATAATTTCCCAGGTGCCCATGGGTGAAAAATAAGGAAACATGCCTGTATCATCTGTCAACCGGAATCAAACACAGGCCCTAAAACTTGTGAAGTGAGAGCTTTGGCCCTGGGGCTGATAGGCTGTAGCACCCCTACCAACATATGCTAAGCAGGTCTTTCCCAAACTCAGCCTTTTCATCCATATGCAGTATTTATTGAACTTTTCTGAAGCACTCAAGCTTTGATGACTTACTTCAGCAGTTTGTTTTTCATTCAATGACAACTCTTAATGCCAACTCTGTTGACAAACCCGTATTTTCCTATATCTTTTTAAAATCTAAATTTATCCAACTTGAATCTATTATTTTGAGGTTTCGTTACATAATTACTTGTATAGTACTGCTGCATTACTAGCTTAGGGGCAGTGTGGAATTAATTCTCCATGGTGAATTACATTGCTTTAGTCTGTATCTAGTTGAGTGGTTTGTAGAGCATCATATCATCAACCAATATTTTCTGCAAACTGTTAAATGCACCCTGTAATAGAGATCATTTTCTCAATTTCTGTGTAGGTTATTTAACTACTTTAAAAGCCTCAGCCAGCTGCCATTGGTAATTGACACATGTTTGAACATAATGGAAGAGCTGTGATGATGGATGTTATCAAATAAACAAACACTGCACCCAGGAATGAAGACCAATGAGCTATGACTGACCACCAGGAGCATATCTCTACTCATGTAGCAACATATATGTAATGACATGTATATGTAGACTGTCATTACAGAATAATAGAGAAACTGAGGTCACTAATGATACAATATTAAGTCTGCTTAACTAATTTTACTTGAGATTTGGTTTCATTTGGTGTGTCAGAGACCATGTGTCTGTAATATATTGCTTTATTCTGGTTAATATTGACATTTATAAGAAATAATAACAAGAATAAAGAGAGATTTGGGCATGGGAGAGACACTAAGTAAAACATTAAGTAATTATAACCTGCAGATAAGGAAGCCAGTGTCTGTAGGGACAGCTGTACTGTGTTTTATTTACAAATTGATTTTTCATGAATGTAGTTCAGAGTAAAGATATAAATTATATCTTCCATAAAATAAATAGAAATAGTATATCAAAGAAAGCACAGTTTACTGACATATTACTTAAATTTTCCTTGAGAATAATTACTGGAAGTAATGTTGACAAAATTCATGTGCAGTCTTCAATTAAAATTTAATTCTTCTATTTTGTATTAAAGAAAAATGTATCATTAATCATGAAAGATTAATGCAAGGTGTATAAGCCATGTTTACTAATGCAGGAGCCTACTACAATGGTATGGACCAGGAGGGGCGAAGTATGACAGACCAGCAAACATTTGGTAGTGTTGTTGCTACCATCCTTGTAATTGTGGTTACCATGCAGGTATGTACAGTTTTTTTTACTGTAGTTGAAACCATCAGGTTCAGGTTTTGAATGAAAAATTTGTAATAGTGCAGTACTGAAAAAAAAGGCTTTTTTTTTTTTTCATGATGCTAAGTATTAAATAACAAAAAAGGCACAATACCGTGACTGGAACGATACACAAATAGCTGTCCTGCTCCACTTCTGGTTAGTGTGACTTTGTCAATGGTCCAAGTCGGACCGAAACGTCGTCGTAAGCTTCTCTCTTTTATGTGCGGGTTATATGTGTAATGCTGAGTATTTTATATGAATTTATATATGCAAACAGGCAAAATTATTTATAAGCATTATCTGTCAGTTCACAGCAGGATTTGAACCTACACACACACTGCATCATAGTACACAGTACTTTAGCTACACAGTAAGTGTGCAGGTTCAAATCCTGCTGCGAATGGAGAGAGAATGTTTGTAAATAAATTTATAGATGAACAAAGTCTCATCTAGTATACAGGAATTATAATCTATGTGAAACAGTTATTCATGTCAGTTATGGTGGGTGTTATGATAATGTAGTAGATGTCATTGTGTGATAATACAGACTCTGGAAATGATGATGGATCCACAAATAATGTTGGGTCAGTGGTAAATTGTAAAGAAATTTTAGGTAACATACGATAAAGGGTAAGAAAAATCAAATTTTACTTGCTTTTTAATATTTGGTGTTGTTTCCGTGGGATTTGATTATCAATTTCAGAATCATTAAGCGTTTCAAGTAGAATACATCAAGTTCATTTCTTGAGTCCAGAATTTTTTTCATCACTTCAATCAAGTGTGACACTGATGAAGTACTTTTGGAATGGAGTTTTGCTTTCATTACATTCCTACAATTTTCAATGTTATTCAGGTCAGGGTTGTTTGCTAGCCATTGGATGACACTGAAATTGTTGTTTTTCAACAGTTACTTTTACCTGTTTTGACATGCGGCACTGGGCACGTGTCAAAACAGGGCCACATTTACTCCAACATCATTTGCAGAGTTTGTATATTTATCTTTGAAATATAGGGCCCTACCTCATTATGACAAGAGGAATTTATTTTTTTTGTTTGCCTAAATCCACAATTTAAACTAGATAATTAATCTTGTTAAAAAATTCATTTCTCAAAATTTTGCAGTCACCATTTCAGGGCAATATATAGGCAGAATAATACACAGTCAGCATAGCTTCCTAACTCAATTTAGAACTCACTTGCAGTTAACCTGCAATGCTCACTTCAAATCTTTGTGTACTGCAATATTTTTTTAGCACATCAGCCATCTTGGGACTGTGGCAAGGTGACCCAAAAAAGAAGAAAATGCGTACGCAAGATTAAATTTTCATTATTTGATCTCCCTCTTGGAGTTTAAAATGAATGATTTAGTCATTTCCCTTTAAGTTTCAGTTTATTACACTATTGATAACCCTATAATTATTAATTAGAGTAATAAGATGTATAATATTATATTTCCATTAAAAATAATCTACCAAAAAGCTTTAAGGGAAATTTGAACCCTTATGAAATATAACAAGGGAAACAATTTCTGTTCCTAATGGTAACTATCATATAGAATAGTTAGCA